CATGGTTAACATTTCTGTGACTTATTTAATTGAAGTATAATATATTTAAAAAGCGGCCTTGGCCGGGTGTGCAGTGGCTCATGCCTGTAATCCCAGCACTTTGGGAGGCTGAGGCGGGCAGATCACGAGGTCAGGAGATCAAAGACCATCCTGGCCTAACACGGTGAAACCCTGTCTCTACCTAAAAAAAATACAAAAAATTAGCCGGGTGTGGTGGCAGGCGCCTGTAGTCCCAGCTACCGGAGGTGAGGCAGGAGAATGGTGTGAACCTGGGAGGCGGAGCTTGCAGTGAGCCAAGATCGCGCCACTGCAACTCCAAGCCTGGGCGACAGAGCAAGACTCTGTCTCAGACCAAAAAAAAAAAAAAAAGAAAAGAAAGAAAAGCGGCCTCACTGGACACCGTGGCTCACGCCTGTAATCCCACCACTTTGGGAGGCCGAGGCAGATGGATCACTGAGGTCAGAAGTCGTGGGTAGCCTGGCCAACCTGCCAACATGGTAAAACTCCGTCTGTACTAAAAATACACAAATTAGCTAAGTATTTTAATAATTGGCAACAAGTATAGTCAGTTTTTTTTTTTTTTTTAAAATAGAGTTTTGCTCTTGTCACCTAGGCTGGGGTGTAATGGTGCGATTTCAGCTCATTGCAACCTCTGCCTCCCAGGTTCAAGCGATTCTCCTGCTTCAGCCTCCCAAGTAGCTGGAATTACAGGCTAATTTTCTTTCTTTTTTTCTTTTTTTTAAGATGGAGTTTTGCTCTTGTTGCCCAGGCTGGAGTGCAGTGGTATGATCTCTGTTCACTGCAACCTCCGCCTCTCAGGTTCAAGCAATTCTGCCTCAGCCTCCCGAGTAGCTGGGATTACAGGCGCATGTCACCAAGCCCAGCTAATTTTTTTTTGTATTTTTAGTAGAGATGGGGGTTTCGCCATGTTGGTCAGGCTGGTCTTGAATGCCTGACCTCAGGTGATTCACCTGCCTCGGCCTCCCAAAGCCCTGGGATTACAGACATGAGCCACCATGCCCAGCTATGCCTGGCTAATTTTCTGTATTTTTAGTAGAGATGGGGTTTTGCCATGTTGGCCAGGCTGGTCTCGAACTCCTGGCCTCAGGTTATCCTCCCACCCCGGCTTCTAAAGTGATGGGATTACCGGTGTGAGCCACCACGCCTGACTTGTTTTTCTTAAAGTGATAAACTCATTTCATTTATTTTTGA